TTACAAAAGTTTGTAGATGAAGCTTCAAGTAAATGAAATGTTGAGTGGCTTTGTCTACGTTTTGACCAGCAGATCTACAGTAGATCTAAAGTAAATGTAACCTCGTCTAATGTAGATCTACATGATTGGTAAGGGCAAGACAGCGGCATCAGTCGCGGATTCTAGAAGCGCGCGTACTAGATGGAATGCTTCGACCGCACGCGCTTTCTCGTACAGAGCAGATAACGATGCCCTTACAGAAGTATGATTTCCATATTTAAATCCGCTGTTATTGGCAATTGACCGTTTTATTCGATGCCGATTTTAGTACTAAGTACTAGTTATCTAACATTTTTCTTTTCCTTTTTAAATAGTTTCGTTTTCGAAAACAACATTGTAGTAAAGTCCATAGCACATGGCCTTGATGCTCAATAATGGGGTACAATATCGCGAATATTCTGCTGCACTAATGTCACAATCCACTGTAATTCATGTACCATAATGCTCTAATATATTAAGAAATATATACCTGGACAAGTCGTTGTTGCGCTTCCCAAAGGTTGGCATATATTATTGTTACTTGTATCACTGTCAGTAGCTTGAAGTTGAATACATAATTTGGTGTAGAGAAAACAGTTTGCAACATCTAATGTTAGGGATAACACTGTTCCTGAGATGGTATTGTCGTTAGCAGCAGCAGTAGTAGTTCCAGTTGCATCAAACTCGCTTGACATAGTAGCGGATGTATCATCTGCAAAGTACCCCTTGACACCTGTCACTGCATAACCACCACCCGTTGAAATTAGAACGATATCTAATGTGACATCCGTTGGTGCAGTGGTACTGTATGCTATTCCTGACGCTGGATCCGTAATTGTAAAAGATGAAGCAGCTACATCTGAAAAATATTTGTAAAGTATTTGTAGTGGTAAATTCATATCGAACATAAATTGAAGAAAAATTACATTGCAAAAGTGTAATTTGATCCCTGTAGCACCACTACCTGTACGAAATGGGCCATGAAGGAACTCCAGGTAATTTTGAATACACCTTAATATATAGACTTTACTGCAATCCATTCGTGATTTTTCGCATTTTGTGACGAGATAGAAGCATCATTGATTCTTTCACATGCCTTAGATATATCACCGATATTTACTTCATTGTAGTGACGCTGTGTTGATATATAAGTTCCGACAAGAATGACTTCTTATCTTAAATAAGATTAGATACCATATTGAGTTCATATTTAATTTCTGTGATATTATTCGTCCCATGTTATTTAGCGAGACATGTTTCTGTCTGCTTCAACAATTTTTGATGAAATATATTTTCGATGTTTTCTCTTTGTTTGAGCTTGGAATTTACATGACCAATTGTTATGTATTTAAACATTACTGAGCTGATGTTGCACTCTCGTGATCCTACAATGCTTTATAATGTGTACTAAAACATCAATTGTACTTTGTCTGCTCAATTTACAGGCAAACGTTCTATCAGAATCATCACATTGCAATTGATGTAGTTTACTTGAGGTTGAGATCTTATAGTAGAATATATATTATTTGGTGTAAATATGTTAAATAAAGCTCAAGATATTCATACGTCTCCCGGATTTTATGAAGAACGCATTGGTGGGATCAAATCCAGCTGTTGACAAATATTTGATGTTTATGAACATTTCTACGAGCCATCGATAATACAGGATTAGTGACAGGAAAAACGTCTATCCCCATTACGAATGTCAGGGAGACTCCAAACTAACAAAGATCGTAGACACTAAAGACTAGACAAATTTCCGTAAAAATGCTATCTACCGACATTGAAAACGCAGCAACAAAAGGTAAGTATGTTGGTCTCGATTGAGAGTACTCTAAATCGGATTGGATTTTTTAAATAAATTGTTAGAAATAGAAATATTTTGAAACAATAATGATAGTTTCAGGCAAAAACTAGACAAATTCAAAAAAAATAAGTTTATGAATTCTGCCAGTTGCAAACAATAAAGATAGTGATAAAATAAGATCCAACAGCAGTTGAAGCCATTGTCATTACGTATTGGCTTCCTTCCAAACATGAACGTCGACGACAGTCATTCGTGCACGACTTACAGGACATGTTAGGAACAAAATATAAGGCAGGAATCGCCCGCAGTTTATATCAATAAACTATTTCAGTAATCAACTTTCAAAACGTGGATTATGTTTATACAAATAGAAGACATTACGAGAACTGCCTGCTAAACACAGCATTTCCGTGAGGAGAACGCACATTGATATGCATTGAGCAATAGTACAAGTTCATGCCAATGTGACCTTTTCGAAGAGCTGTCATAAATACAGTATTTGTGGCGCGGAAAACTTTTATGTCTTACACTAAGATTAGTAGGATGACGTGCTAAACTATTATGGCTACTTCAAATTTCTACGAAACATTTCCGATTTCAAAAAACAACAACACTTGTTTAATGTGTTTAATTATGAAGCGGGGGCACAATTTGTCATATTTTAAATCACTTAGATTTACAGTGTAGGGTGACAAATATACGCGGCAATGGAATGGTCGATGTTCCCGAACTGGACAAGCCATCAAGATGTATGCCTCATACTAGAAAATATGAGACCCACACATATATATTTACAGCCATAGTTTCCCAGATAATTTGATAGCAATGTTTATGCGATTTATTGTGATCGTGCTTACGTGTGAAACACTCTGACGACGATTTATTGTTGTTGGTTTAAACACACCATGGAGGTAGTTGTAATAAGTTGGTCTACGTGTGGTTGTAATGTTTTGGTAAAACTGGAACACTGCATGAAACTCACGACCAATGAAATTCAATAACATTTTGTTTTTGTTTTTTCTTACCCAGATCGTTTTGGCTAGATTGTGTTAACATTTTTGAGTATTTTTAACGCTGGAACATACTCAAAAATCTATTTTAAAATATATGTAAAAATCTCATATGCTTTACGTAATTCATTGTACTCCTCCGTCAGTGGAAATAATAACACGACGCCATGACAGGTTTCACGCAACGTTTTGACTCTGGGGACGATTTTACGTTTGTTTCCCTCGAATAGTAAATATTTTTATTTTTTTATCTGATGATTGAACATCAGCAAGCGTCAGTGTATGATAGATTTTGGCATGTCATCGTGATGCAATAGTATTTTTTGTAAACGATTAACGTCACTTTTATAAACGGGCATCATCTCCGTTAGTGTTTTCTAATTGGTCGAATAGAAGAAAGAAAACTAATTAGCTCCTACAGTTTTTGTCAGTTTGCCTTGACATTTTTACACTGTTTTAACGACGTCTCTACGAACAAAAGGACTGCTGAGCTTATTTTTAAAGCTTTGTATTTTCGGACAATAACATTCGAAGTGTGAAATACTGACCGGGATTGAATATACGTACACATCCTGCTTGACAACTTTGTAATATGAACACAAAACATACAATATATACACCCCGACGCCCATTTATTAATACACAACTGATAAACGTTGTGTTAAAGTTTCACTTTAAATAAACAAGAATTGTAAGAGCTTTTCAGATTTGAACTTGGTAAACTAAAAAAACACAAGTAAAGATAATGGATAATTTGCATAACCATTCACTCAGTAAGAAGTTTGCTAATGCTCATAATTAAAATGGCTTTAACAGTTCCAAATTTAAACCTGTTATCGTTTTGTAAAAAAGTTAAATATAGTGCATAATATGGAGATTCCGTCATTACTTTTTTTCACCATGTTTTTATTGATTATTTATGTACAGCCTTGCTAAAAAGAGAATGCTTGTACCTGTTTTCTATATTTTAAAATCGTCTTTTGAGTGTGTTCCATCAGTCACAATGCTGCGAAATTTTAACAGCCTATGGCCAAGACTGTTTGGATAATAAAAAGTCAAAAACAAATTCACTCTCAAGTGCCCACGAACCTGCATTTATACCTTAATAAAATTGTTCAAAATTGTTCATGCTCAAAGTGTAACTCGATGTTCATTTATCATTTAACAGAACGAGTTATAGAAAACGGAGATTTTTGTTTTTGTTGAAAGTCCACATTTAGTAACTCGAAGTGTTATGTTCCTGTATCTCGGAATTCGGTTAACTGCTAATTCAAATTTTAATTACTAAATTTGAGTTACGCGTGCATATTGTCCGTAACTCTGCTAGCTGTTAACTGAACATCGAGTTACAATTTACATCTGCTCTTGCCAAAGTTGGCATAGATTTCAAAATATCGGCGTGGTCATTTGTTTAGCTCGACGTCCCCAACAATTTAGTATCTCTAAATTACCTCATATATAACACGATATTCCACTGATACTGACTGTTACAGAACAAGTTTAATTAGTCAGCCAACAAGCAAAAAATTTGATCTGCAAAACTTTTGTATGTCTTGTTACATTATCAGTTGATATTGCTTGGTTTTTTGGTCTATGAACTGAATGGAAGAAACTATAATTACATGTCCCACACCGGATTATTTTCATGGCAATTACAATTATTAAAATTTTGACTGCTATCAATGTTATGTATTTCATCTTAACTACGCTACCAATGTATTATTATTATTTGAAATGTAGACCAATTTACGTTTAATCTGGTGAATAATTGCATTAGCAGGTGATCGAGCATTTAGCCTGAATGTCTAACTTCTGGCCAGCCGCTACTATAACAGAGGCATTAAAACTAAATTGACATCGACAGTGGGCGCATTGAATGTTGGAAGATTTCCACAAATAATTCGATGTTGAGACTTCAACAAATTCTGTGCTGACCCTGATTTAAACGTGTATAATTATCATTAGGAGATAAAATCGTGTAGACCTACCGTCGTAATGAATGTAGATAAGCTATGACTGGAATGGAATGATTATATTTATATGCCTTGGAATTCACTGACGCACGTTCACAAACTTAAATTTTGTGGCGGTAAAATAGACATGGTTAATGTGCCGGCTAAACAGTTATTGTCATGTGACCTTATTAATATGTGTAATAATCCAAGCATTGTATCAAATTGGAATAAGCAACCAGTACTATTATGGGTGATCATACTTGGTCATGTGACTTATTGAAGCGCTCAACTGAATATTATTTATTTCTACATATAAATTATACATGCAATTTATATGGACTAGTTTAATTTTCTAAAGTAGAAATAAGTCATAAATAGTGGTAATCAATGTTATTCAGGGTTAGCACCTGTCAACCAGTATAGAATTAAATTTAAAAAGGTTACTACAGTGTTGATAATAACAAAACATTAAAATTAAATATAAATAATACGAATATATACAATGAATTAATAAATGTTCTCACCGTAAGATAAGCTTAAATATTTGAAGCATTGTTGACAATAGAAGCATGCAACCATTGCTATTAATGAAGCCATCGGGAAAGAGATGCAAATATCATATTAGATGACCGTGGTCAGGTTAGCTCATTACTATGAATAACAGTCATATCTCAAGCATTCTATCAACCCGTGAAGTTTGCAAGGGGTAAGAGATTTATGGGAAAATATTTTTTATCATTTTTGGCCATTTTGTCCATGGCAGTTTCCTTGAAATGTAATGACCGTTTCCTTTCTGTCCAAACTGTTAAATGTACTTCATATAACTAATTTATTCTTGTGAATAATGTTTTGTATTCTTTCTTTTTTGGATTCCTTGTTTGCGAATAGAACAAACAAATACTAAATAAATGAGAACGCAATGCACTTACCACCAACATGTTATCATAATTAGTGTCTCTAAGTTTCTAAGAATATCATATCTGGTGCAAACGGTGTCTAAGAATATTGTATCTAACTAAGTTAGTGTCTGGTACAATGTTATCCACTTAATGGTCGTCTACTGTCTCAATTTAACAAATACTGTACAGCCGAAATAATAATAACAGAAAAACATTTGCCAAAGACAA